GTCGCCCACGTTGTCTTCGCTCGGGCGCGAGCGCGAACGCGCGCATCTTAATTAACGGCCGCCCCAATTAGAATGGTGCTACCCAAAAGATTCCGGGCGCGCTTTGACTTCGCCCCTCCCCCTCCTTCGGACCTTTATGCACGCCACAGTCTCGCCTTCCACGTTTCCCTCATCTTATCGCGCTCGCGGCGGCTCCTTCCTGCCACTTGTTTCCCCCGTGAATAAACGTCCGCGTAACAGTGACCCGGTTTCCGCCGCCGCGGCACAATTTTGCCGCGGTAGCGCCGCGACACGCGCGTTTCGGGAAAATTGCGGAAAGTGGATGCGGCGTGTTTGAGGATAATAGGGGAAAGTAGGGTAAAACCGGATAGCCGAGTCAAATGGAGCGTGCGGCCCGCGCGGTTCTCCAGCGCGTTCTCCAGAGAGGGCGAGCGCGTTGCGGGCGCGACGACATCTTGCTCGGGACTCATCGAGGCCGTCGACATGCAGCACTGGACGGGGCGTCAAACCAAAACCGTGTTCACAGACGTAGAAAGAGACAGGGCGATGTGTGGGTATAGTAGAGGCTCCGAGCACGGTAGTGTTCCCTTCAAAAAATTTCGACCAATAAACATAGTAGAGTGCGAGATCCGTGCCCACACATCTCTCTCTCTCTCCCCCTCTCCTGGCGCACAAATAGATGGACGTGCAATTTTGCCGCACGCTGTACCCCGCGTACGATTTGATCCCGCGCAACCTGGTCCCGCTGCGGACATGGAAAACCGTGCAAGAGGCGCGCAGTGTGCACCGCCGTCCTGCGAACGCGGCGTAATTTCAAGGCGTGGGTCGCGCGTCGATAATTTCTCGTGAAACGAGGACAGGACACACAGTTCCGCTCCGTCCTCATCTCCCTCTTTCCGCCCCCACCGTCCTCCTCTCGCGCGAGTTCGCTGCGCTGCCGCCGACGTTTCTTTCCCTTTTTGCGCCTCGATTTGTCAGGGGTATTAATCGCGAGCGCGATAACGTCGTTGCTCGTGCTTCGTGCATGACAAACGACACCGATATGGCGTGCCTGCACGAGCCGTCGCGCCGTTAAAACGGGAAGAATATATTTATTCTACGTGTTTCATGAGCTTTCTACAAATTAACCTTCCGCGAAAATGGATAGACGAAGAAGAAGAAGTTAGGGGCGGAGGAGGAGAAGGAGGAGGAGGAGGTCGACAGGGCGGCGAGGGCGGAGACGGAAGAGCGCAAAGTGCATCAAAAGTTTTGCGTTTCGGCACGCGTTATCCAATTACCCCGGAATCACGTGCGCCCCGTAACGCCCTCAATTATCCGACCCCGCGTCGGATAAAAACCACCGTCGGCGGGAAAATTTTGCGGACACGTGGCGGCGTTAATGAGGGATGCGAGGAAATATTTATTTACAAAACGCCCAGCGCGCCCGTTATTAAAGTCAGCGCGCGCCCGTTTGCCCCGAAGCGCCGAAATGTCCGTGCGTTTTAAATGCACGACGGCGAGGCAGCGCCGCGGTTTTACGCCGCGAAAAAAAAAACCGGGTTTTGCTCGCAAATTCGAAAATCTCGCGTGCCCGCGCCCGAACGCGATATTTCCAGCCGCGCGACGTATTTTCATCCGTCGCGACGCCGCCGCGGTTGTCAATAATGGTTTTGTCGCACGAGACGGCGTTGCACGGAAAGAGAAGGAAGGAGAGCGGGGAAGAGAGAGCGTAAGAGGCGTCGAGAAAAGTTTCCACCGCAGTATCGACGCTGTTATCAATCCACGTCCGCGAATACGCGACAGTCGCGCCTTTCTCTCTCTCTCTCTCTCTCTCTCGTCGTGGATTATCCCGATAAAAGATAAACTTCGCCCCGCGCGGCGTCGGGCGGATGAGCCGCGCGGAAAGAAATTCAGGCTCGGCGTCGCGCGATAATAAAAGAGGGGGCGAGGAGTCCCCGCCGCCCTCCGGGACGCGGAAGGGTAGAACGCGACAGTATGCACTCCGATGCACCTGCCGCTGCGTGTGACGCTTACGCTCGTATATTTTATAAAACTTTTTTCTCCTATAGTACCTGCGCTGCACAACCGAAACCCCCTCCCCCCTCGTACACACATACACACGCGCGCGCGCGCTTAAGGAGCCTTGCTCCGTGTGTTATACCGCGTGCGAACAAAAGTATGCAGCTCCAGCCCGCACACCATCGCGCGGGGGAGCAGCTACGATGGAGATGCAGCGGAACTAGGATATTTCCTCCCCGCCAACTCTCGGCTAACCGGGAATTCGAATCGCGGCGCACGGCCTATCTCCTGCACGACGGCGGAATTGTCGCGTGCGCGGCGCCGGGAGAGCCGGGAAACCGTTTAAGAGTAAATGACGTTTTATTAACGGCTCCCGCGGGTCCCCTATGCCCGTAACGCCGCGCCGTTGATTCCCTCGCGAGAGGGGCGAGTTTAGCGTCGCCGCGCGAGTCTGAAAGTTTCAGCGCGGCGAAAGCCGCACAAAAGCGGGACGTCCGAGCGAGGGAAGATAGGGAAAAAGTGTACGTGTACGAGAGAGAGAGAGAGCGAGAGAAGGTAGGAATGGGTGTATTGATAAAAAATGAATAATCGGCTCGCGCGAGAGCGAGCCGCCGTTCGCTTTTTGTCGATTCTGCGACGGTTTGTCGCGTGTAAGGATTATCGGCATGACCCAACGGCCGAGAGATTGCACGGTCCCGAAGCCGATCGACGTTAACGTTGAACCCGGCCAGGTCGATGCGCCGTGAAAAGCGTAGGACTTTCCCTCGGTGACACGACCCTTCGCGTCGCCTGAAGATGAAGTGAAGGGCCATAAAAGATGAACGGACAGCCAATCAGCTTTCGTCTGCTTCGATCGGCAACCCGGGTAATCCCACGGCGGGGTTTGAACCTCATCGGAAAAGTTGATACGCCACTATCATTTATTTGACGTACCGCGGTTCGCCGCGATTTAATGACAATGGGGAGATAATGAATCTCCGTCCGCATTGATACAAAATCATTTTACTCTGCCCGTGTCGGTGACACATTTCTGGTACATTTATCTCTTTCGGTAAAATAACGTTTGTCCCGAATAAAGGAGGGGGAAAAATACAAGGGGTAAGTTAATTTTTGAAACGTGTCGTGAGTAAAGGCGAAGCGTAGACGAGGAGATAAGAAAGTCCCAAAGTAAGGACGAGGACACGAATGGGATCAGTCGATCATCGGGGAGAAAAGTTGTATAATTTACCAAATACCGTCGTTCATGCAAATTACGTCGGTGTCCCGTAAACTCGGCGTGATACGAAAACTTACTCGCGAAGACGACGGCGGTTAATTTCGGCGAGCGAACACGAAAGTTGGTAGCGATATTCGTCTACAGATAACGCCGCGCGCAGAAAACCCCTTTGTCGTAAACGGTCGCCGGCGATCGAAGTGAAACGAGCCCGCAGGGTCGACGAACCGAATATTCATTTATTTATTTATCCCAGTTAACGAGAGCAATCATTTGCTGATAACGCGAGTGGATTGCGCAAAAATGCCGGGCGCGATACGAATGCGTAATGCCAATTGCGATACAGAGAACAGAGCGGCGGAGGTTTTCAGTACTTATTTCAACTTTGTCGGCTGAATTAAAAGTAGAACAAGATCAGGGACGCGTTATTGTCCGAACGTCTCGAAGAGCGAGAACGGCAATGATACGGCCCCGTTTGTGCTGAAGGAGAGCACGAACAAAGGCGCGCCGGCGGTATTTTTTCTTTTTTCCTATTAAATAACCGAGCCCACTGCCACATCAGTCTCCGAGGATAAGATTCATACCGTAAGCGGCTTAACATTTGTCCACGATGAAGCATGCTGGATCCCCCATGGCGGAGCGGAGGGACTCCAAATACATTTCCGCCATTCCGTTCCAGGCGGTCTACCTCAATTTCAACGTTGCATATTGCATTGGTACCTGGGGCCCGCGATACTCGCGGAACATTGTTTAATGTATTATATGACTACATATCCAATTATAGAGAACGCTTCTGAAAAATTCAATTTTCCGCAAGTGTAATTATATCCCCGAGAATTCGCAAACATAATTTCTATCTCGCCCGGCAAAGAGATCCCTCTCTCATTACTCTTTCACGTTTTGCGGGAGCGCTGCGTCGAACCGCGAGACCTTTCAGTCGCGTAAATGCGGAGGGGAAAGCTCGAGCGCGTTGTAAGGGTTAAACGTTAGATATACGCCCGCGAGGAATTAAGGAGACCGAGAATCCGAAAGGGGCACCGAAGAATTCATTTCGACGAGGTCGCGCCGCGGTTGAAATCTGCGCGTTGCAGGGGAGAGCGAAATAAAACGATTCCAACATTCGAAACTGTCCGACGTGCGGACAGTTCAGGAGGAGGGAGAGTTGGTAGAGTACGGAAATTAAGACGATGGGGAGAGGAGGAAGGCAATAACGGGGCATCGAAGATCTTTTAACGATTATTAACGAGCGCGTGACGATCGTGACGGATTGGGAAACGCTCCGGTGCGCGACCTGACACGCGGCCGCGAATAAAACGCGATGTTTAAAGTTTCTCTAAACGGCTGGCAGGAGACAGGACGCGGCGAGTCCGAGGTCGCGTGCCATTCAACCCCGGCGAGGTAGGTACGGGAGATGACGATGTCGTGTAAGAAGCGTGAAATTTGTCCGTGCTTGCGGAACGAGTAGCAATTGCGGAGTCTTGTCGCCGCATAGGACACGCAGAAGCGGCAGTAGAAGAGAGAGAGAGAGATAGATGGAGGTCAGGCGAGAAATGCGAAAGAGACGAGGAATGCAGGAAGAAAAATTCGGAGCCCCGCGCCGTGCCGCGCCGCGACGCGAAGCGGAGCGGAGCAGAGCGGAGCGCGCCGCGCCGTAGCGCGGGGACGGAAGGCGCGCGGCGGAAAAGGCAGAAGGCCTCGAGGAAGGAGGAGGCTGACTGATCGCCGCCGGAGTAGAGGAGAGAGAGCACGCCTGCGCGGAATCCCCGGGCGGGCGCGGGCAGTGCCACCGGAGGCCCGGCGGTTTCAGAGCTTCGCCCGGGACGACGAACCGCGGACGAGCCGAGTGCGGGAAACCCGGTCGTGTTTCACAGTACGACCGACCGATCCGCACCGAGTATACCGTACAACGAGGAGGCACAACCGCGGGGCGAAAAAGAAAGGGGAGGTGGGGGAGGGTTGGCCCGATTGAACGCAGGCAGACCGCTTTGTGACCTTGGTGCGCGCGCGACACTTGGCGTCTTCCTCGGGAGTAATAAAGAAGAGTTTCATCGGTACCCCCTTCCGATCGGGGTCGGATACGGACCGGGGGGGTGTACGGTGAACCCCGCGCGCGAGACCGCCCACAGATTAGACCGTGACTCGGCCTCGCTCCGCCGCTTACGTTCGCGAGTACCCAACTGCGAGATAATGTGATATTACCAGTGTTAGAAGACAAGGCAGAAAAAAAAGGAAGAGGGAAATCGGTGGATGCACGAGAAGAGCGCAACGGGGGGGTTGCAACGAGACGGTTGCAACGACGGGTAACGCGGGAGTATGCGCGAGTCCTGGTAGCACCGGCTGCTGCTGGAGGATGAACGGGACGACGACGGAGGATTATTAAGTGGAGGCGCGCCGAGAGAAAGGGGTGCATCGCGGTGTTCCATGAGATGTCAGTGGACCCGTCGTCCGGGACAGTTACGCCGTCGTCGTCGTCGTCGCCGTTGTTGTTGTCGTCGTCGTGATCACCATGAGGAGGTCCTCCTACGTCAACTACTACGTCCTGTGCCTCGTGTGCTGGATCCTACTAGGCATTACCGGTAAGCCTCGCTCGCGAACACACGGCCACCGTGTTCCACCGCGACGCCGATCCGCGTAACAGATGGCGGCGTCGAGATGCCCGGATCGGGGCTGCGAGAAGAAGACACCGTCAGGGAGGGGGATGACGCTGTAAATAGCAGTTATCCGAGTCACGCGTCTACACGTAGACAGGCGGGTGGTGACCGAGCCGTCGACATCATCGCACGGTTTGCGGGGGAGGCGGGGCTCCGTGGGACTCGTGGCGCGGATGGATCGATTAGATTTTGGGGTGTAGCAGTACGTTGCATACGTCTCCCTCGCACCCCGCGTACGCTTACGAACGTACGTAACGCGCGCTCGTGCGCGTTTTGTCCGCTGTCGCGAATACCGGCGGATTACGAGTACGAGTGGAGATCGCGTGCGGGAGGGGGAGGATCGAGGGTACGCGAGAAGAGATAAGGGCTAAAAAGGACGGAGACGACCGAGAGGGGGACGCAACCTCCGGTCCCGGTCCAGGACCGTATCTAGCGCCACCCTTGTTTGTCGCGCCGCAGCATTGTGCCTCCCTCCATTTGCCCTCTTTCTCACTCTCTCCATCCATCTATCTATCTCTCTCACACTCTTTGGCTGGCTAGCTCTCTCGCTCTCACACACACACACACACACACACACACACACACTGTCCCCCTTTCTGTCCATCTTTCTCCTCTTTGTCCGCCCTGCGTCCTCCCCTCTTCCGCCCCACGTCCCTACGGGATCAGCAGCGTGTCGTCTCGATGATTCCGTCATCACGGGACGAAGACGAGAAGGGAGACGAACGCATCCCCCTTTCCTCCGCCGTGGCGTCGTTCAGGGACGTGTCTATCGATTTCATCTCGCGCGGCTGCATCACCGCGCGATGCGGTCGTGCTTTAAAGCCCGCTCGTGAAACAAGAGCGTCACGGCGTCGTCCTGGAGGGTGCATTCGTGCATTCTGCGTGTACGTGCTATCTGCGAGATAGCCTGGGCTCCCTGCGAGGCATCTCTCAGGGAGAGACCGGGCGGATTTTTGCATCTCTTCTTTAAACATGAGTTTGATCCAATCTTTCGGACGGGGGGAGAGAGAGAGAGAGAGCTACTCCTCGAGTGGCTCGCAAGAAACACCAATTCCCGGAAGAACTACTCCCCGTCGAATGTAACTCGCTTCCGATTGTAGAACTCATTCTATTATGAACCGCGGGAGATAAGCTCTCCTTTCCAGCGGAGCGCCGAGAGCTTTCATCCCGGTGGAGAGAAACGAGAGGCCAACTGTGGGATTACCTTCCGAAAGCGATTTCCCTCGTCACGATTGAATGGGCGACGCGAATATACGATTCCGCAAAGCGTATCAGCGATTAACCGCGATCGCTCGCAAAGGAAAATCTGACGCGCTTTCGGGTCGCTTAAAGGACGACGACGATCTCGCCCGCGGGAGCCCGTCTCGCCGGCGAGGCGTCATCAATTCCGGGGGCAGCGGTGCGCGAGCGGAAAATCCGAAGCGCCGATGAAATCGGATTACCACCGTCGAACTCGCCCGCGTCCGTAGCCGCGCGGAAAGACCGCCGACTGCGACTGCCTGCCGGTCGATGCGATCGCGATTCGCGCGGCCATTCGTCGAACAATCGTTCGACACGATCTCGCCTGAGAATCGCGGTGGTTACGTTCGCCACCCCCTCGCGCGCAGTTTCTCCCCCGCTGGCGGTAAACCACTTGAAAAGTCCGCTAACTGCTCCTCGACTACGAGAGCTTCTACGAGAAGTTCGACAGTTTCAAACCCCGGTAATGGCGGGTTTATTCCCGACATCACTCTCGCCGATACATTATGCACTTTCGATCCGTATAGTACTCGCGCACACGCGTGCGAGGGGGGTGCGGGTGCCGGGGGTGTGCCGCACAACCGCTGATTATAGCTCGCCGCGGTGATTAACCGCGGCCCGCTGCGTACGTTTCTCTCCTGGAAACGGACAAGATCGACGCGGCTTTCGGCGCGGCTGGCGCAACTCTGGGCGTAACTACTGCCTCGAGACGCGACTCTCTACGCGAGAAATCGGCGCTCGCGCGCGCTTACGAGGATTTCGGGGCACGTAACGTGAATTTTGCGGAACGCGGCGCGACCTCGACGGTGCTCGCGGACGTGCTCGGCTGTGTGTGTGTGTGTGGATGCGCTCGAGAAATTGCGTCCCTCGAAAAAAAAAACAACGATACGAGCACCCACGTTTTCCATTGAATTCTCACTAACGTATTTTACATGGATATTCCACCGCGGTAAATTAAGTGTAGACGGGAAAAGATTACCGTAAATGCTTCACGTCTTTTCGCGTACTCAAATAGATTTGGTCCCGGGTAAAAGGAACGAGAGCGACCGCGCGGGTCGTGAGTCTATTTCGACGTTAAGAACGTCGTGTAAGGATTATTATAAAATCATATCGCACGCCGGCGGGAAATAATCCTTCAGAAGCTGAAAAACCGGGATTTATGTGGCAGTTTAGCACACGATGACGTCGTAAAACTGCACGGGCATGCGTACGTGTTGTTCTGACAAAGTGGGAAAGGAAACAGCGGCCCTGCCGGACGCAGCCCGAGTCTCCTCCGCGCATCGGGCGGCATTGTCTCTCTCGGGAAATATACGATTTTAGATCCGCCTTCTGTTTCCGAGAAATTTACCTCTTCCTGCGGCCCTCCGCCGCCCGCGATCACGTCCCATCACGCTCGATTACGCAGCGGCGAGACATCTTATCGCGAGTTATTGCTGCGTGAAGCGGAATAGATTTATAAAGCAATACTCGCTCGGATTTTTATAATAGTTTTCATACCTCGGCGGAAGGATCTCTCGGAGGGTGCCCGCCACATCTCTCCTTCACTCCTAACGCTCTTCTTATTCAAGAGCGCCCCCGCGCACGGAGTCGGAGCCTCCGTGGAAACGGTGATCGAGGCGATTCCGCTGTTCGTACCTCGGTAACGATTTATGCCCTCGGAATGGCGAACGGTCTATTTCCTCCACGGCGCTCGCTTAAATAATACACAACGGAGAATATCGTGTCGCCGGCCAGCTTTGCAGCTTTTATCGGAATCTCCGGGACGAACGTGATTTCCGCGCACCCCCTCGGGAGTTACGGGGGTGCGCGCAAACCGACTTACAAAACGTCGACATGAATAATGCAGCCGCCACTCGTCCGCTCGTCGTCGTATTTATGCCCGGTGGCTCTCTCTCTCTCTCCCCCCTTCCCTTCCCCCGCGATAAACATAAACTCTTTCGGTTATTCATCAATGAGCCCGCCTCGGTGCGTTACGCTGCGAAATTACATGCCTCACGTGGACGGTACATCTTGCCCCGCGATAAAACCCGTCATTCTCCCCTTTGCACGAGCGCTCCTTCGCCTGATTTAATCTCGAGATAAATGCGACTGTATTACGCACCCCCTGAGAAACGGTCGCGCGCGCGCGCGCGCGACCTTTGCGCAACTCGCCGCACGTCGACATGAAAAATAGGTTTGGGGCGGCGTAGGCAGCGTCTAGCGAGCGCGCCTATTTGCGCCCCCTTTCGCGGTAGGCAAATGATCCCGATTCTCGGCGGCGAGGGTGCAAACCTCGCGGCGACCGACGGGCGCGCGTGCGCGCAGCCGCGCAGATTTTGCGCCGTCCCTCAAGATCAAGAGGATCGACTCTGTGCGGGAGGAGGACCGGTAGCGCCCCCCCCCCTCTCCCCCCCCCCCAGACACGAATTCGTATATATCTCCGGCACATTTGACAATACACCGCTCGTAGCCGCGCGCTGATTGCCAATCTGGCTCTCTCGGCTCGCACGGAAACGTGTCGGCTGGATGGATTTGTCGGCCGCGGAATCACGGAGATACAGTTACGACGTTTCTGGGACGACGTGATTTCGAATCTCGGGATAGAGGTGGATGTTTTTATCGCGGCCGACCGCGAACGATGATCAAAATCAGCAATCGCTTCCGAGCATTACGCGGATTATCGCGATAAAAGAAAAAAGGAGAGGACCCTCCTGAAAAAGAAAAGAACGATAAAAATCTGAACGAGGGGTTTCACTACCAAGCCTCGATTTCGCACATGAATTTCGCTCGCGGGGAAAATACCAGTTTTCATTTTCGCTTGAAATCCAACGGGGAGCGAGATCGATGGAAATTCTTGCCACTGTTTACTCTAGCTCGTCGATCAGCCGTCGAGATTAATTTATGATTCATTACCCCCGCATTTAGCTTGACCGAAACAATAATTAGTACCGTTGCAGCGGCTGTGATTTTCTTGCGCATAAGTAGAACAATCGATGCGCGATAAGCCGAGCGGAGCGAGGTTTACATCGTGTACGGGCGATTTCATATTTACTCCTTATCGCGTCGCGCGGTTATCACGCTGTTGATCTTAATTAAGCGTAATTATCACTAGCCTTGTCGTTTGTCAAAGTTTCGGCGGATCTTGATAGCGGCGACGACATATGCTCGCTTCTTACGTAACTCGGGCGGCCTCGAGGAATTAACGGCGTCAACTATAAACACAACTCTGCTAATTAGTAAAATAATCATTTAATCAACAGATCGGAGCGACAGACAAAAGCGAGATAAGGTGCCAACTACTCCGAGTTGTAGCGGAGAAGACATCTCCGGTCTTTGCAGTAGCAATTTATTAATTTAGCGTCTTAAGCGCCCAGCGTCACAGCCTAACGCGTGAAATATTCCCTCGTCCTAATTGAGGATTTCATCTTTCACACTTAGCCGGCGGCCCGGCCATGAAGTTCTGGTCACCGTCGTGCAAATCGTGGAATTTCGTGCGCCGCCGGTCGAACATAAGATCGGATGTGATATCGTCAAGGTCGTTGGAATGACGCCCACGTTGCTCTCTCTCTCTCTCTCTTTCTTCTCCCTCCCTCCCTCCCACCCTTCTTTGAATGTTGATCCGCTTCTAGATTTCCCGGATCGGAATCCCCGGGATTAGTATCCATTTCCCCCGGGCACAGCACCTCAGCGGGGTCTCCTCCACGATAGGATTTATTCCGAATAGCATCGCGCGCGCGCGCGCGTGCGCGCCCGCGCGCGACCGGGCGAGCGCGGCATACGAATGCGAAACGGTCCCTTCTCGAGGTCTGGCTCGCCTTATTATTCCATTGCGACGGCCAACGTCGCTACCTCCATGTTAATTCGCCGCATAACGTGCCGACGATGCGGCGACGCTAAGCGTGTTCCACGAGCGTCTCGAGGACGCGTCCTGGCGGTAATTCGCGCATTTCACGCACTCGCGATGCACTTCGGTGAGAGGCGAAAGAATATGCATCCCCCGGTCTCCCCGTGTTCTCCGCATTGCGCCGCATTTCGCCCCTCGTCACCGGGCGATCGCACGTAACGCGGCACCACCGCTGGCACACGCGAGACACTTTTCTCAACACGTTCCTTTCAGGGGTAAGTACGAGATCTCATTCGCTGGTGAAGAGATTCGACGGGATTTACACGGGGCCTTACTTCGACTCGAACACTCCAACGAATATCACGGCGCAGCTGGGCACTCATGCTTACCTACCGTGCAAAGTGCGGCAGCTTGGTAACAAATCAGTAAGTTATTTAAAACCATACGATTCAGGTCTCGGTATAAAAAAAGACTGTGAGCGCCGGCAACGAAAGTAGATAGCTCTCTTTTCGCGGAACGAGCGAAACGTAAAATCCGCGAATATAAAAGAAATTAATCTCTTGCGGCACGAGAGACGCTCACAGCAATTTTTATACCCCTACGTGTTTCCTTTTAAGCTAGTGCCACACTATGCGCAATTTGTGCTGCGCGATTCGCAGTTTGTCCCTCACAATTTGTTATTTGTCGTTTGGTTTGTGTCAACTTGGACAATCCTTACCTGTTATCACAGGACTTGCATCATAAGTGTACAATTAAGCCAACGGCACACGATACTATTTTTCCTACTGGATTACTTACGAAAGTCAATCAGAATTTGACCTTAAGGGGATGCCGGAGTGATTGTGCACTTTTGGCACCTTTTGCTCCTAGAACTGTCAATTCGTGAAAACAATTGTGTAATATACAAACTATGTGGCTTTTATGTACGAACCGACAGTGTCCCACTATTCAGATTAAGTGAAAGAACAGCATGGTATCACTGAAATTAAGTTTAGGAGCTTAACAAGAAGTCTATTCACTCGAATAAGTTATAGATTTAGGCTTCTAAACTTAATTTCAGTGATACCATGCTGTTCTCTGATTTAGTCCGAATAGTGGAACACTGTCGGTTCGTACATAAAAGCCACATAGTTTGTATATTACACAATTGTTCTCACGAATTGACAGTTCTAGGAGCAAAAGGTGCCTAAAGTGCAGAATTACTCCGGCATCCCCGTAAGTCATCTGATCTAAAACTCTGCACCCTTATTAGCTCTCGCAAGCTATCCAGTTGGAAAAATAGTATCGTGTGCTGTGTGGCTTTAGTCAAGTTTCAATGTTAGTCAAAAAGTGAACTATTTTGTAAAAAAACCGCTCGGCCAGCGAATCACTGCAAACGGCGAATCGACGAATTTTTCCTCCACACTATTCACGAATATACGAATCGCGCATTACGAATCGCGCGTAGTGTAGCGCTGGCTTTACCATTCAGCCTCGAGTCTTACGTGAGGGTATTGTGATTTCATACATATCAATACAACTGTCATCGCGCCGTCGATTCGAGACCTAATTTGTCCTTGTCATATTGTCCGCCCGCATCTTTGATGGAAGCGCGTTGCCTTACGCGTTCCGTTTATTGACAGCTTGATTTATTAACGAGCTTATTTGTGAGATAACGCGTAATGGCCAAATTTCCGCCTGACAGTTACGACAATGGGACTCCGTTTGATATAACGACGACGCTAAAAAAAACAAAGAAAAATTGTTACAACCGAGCCGAGTCTCCGGGAGACAAAACCGCCCCGTTCCCGATCTCTCCTGAATGCTACTCCACGTGCGGGCAAGCTAAATTTATTTGCACGCAATCCGATCGTCCCTGTTTTATTATTAACGGCAAACTATCGAGTTATGATCGGCGCATCAAAGCGAAATAGAGTTATTTCTGTTATCAGTCATTCTTTTCACCATCCGTCCCGATCAAATCGCCAGCCTTGGACAGTGATTACTTCTGGGGGTCCGCGGATGATAAAACGACGTAACTAGTATATCTCAATCGCTATCGCGAAACCCGCCCCATTTTCTCCGCGTCGGATAGCTGTCCGCGACAGATAACCCGCCCACGTGTCACGAGCCGTTAACTCGTTCTCCACGATCGGCGTTCCCTTTTCACCGGATCAATTCACCCCCGCTAATAAAACGCCTGCTAATGATTCGCGTTTCCACCCGGTCCTCTCTCTCTCTCTCTCTCCTCGTGAAATCGGTAATCGGAAACCGGTGCGCAGAGTGAGGGGGCGGTTTCGCGGAACGCCGGCCGTCGTCCGGCGCGTAATAAAATTACCGCCGGCACGCGCGAGGCTCGGCACCGCGGCCCCCGGTGCGTCTCTCGTTAACGAATCTCGCCGACTTGTACGCAGGCGTACTCGTCGTACCCTGGGTTGTTGTACAGGGTATACGCCTGTCGCCCGTTGGCACGCGGTCGAGGACTAAGTATCCGGTGACACGCGACACCCGCGCGTACAGTCCCGGCGCGTACTTGAGGGGCCCGCGCGGCCGCCGTCGCCGCCTCGATCCTTATCGGCCGGCGAATTAAATGTATTCGTACCTCGCCTTCTTTCGACGCAGCACACGGACCGCCGTCGACGCCGGGTGGTTCGCGGCACCATCTAGATTTCCGTCGGGCGCGCGCGAGCCGTCCGGTCGATGAACGATAAATTAACTGCGCGACGGGAACGGAAGATTGATCGTCCGGAATCGGAACGAACCGATGGTACCCTTTCTTAATTTTTTTACCCCCCGTGTGTTTTTTTCTCTCCCCAAGGCTGTATCTCGCTCCCGACTCCTGTACTCGACCCTTCGTTTTTACGCACCCCAATTTCGCCTGTCTCTCCCGATGTCCACTTAGTTGCAAATAATGGGTTCCCGGTGATTTCGTCAAGCTAATGCGATTAACTCTTTGAAGTTCAGTGTATGAGAAAAACCTGTTTTTTAAGAGACCAACATTTATTACACGCGCAAATATTTATAACTGTCAAGTACACAACGTCAGTGTTTTCTTGACCATATCTGGCATTTGGAATAATATAACTCTGGTCCCGCGGTGAAACCGCTGGCCTAAAATATTTACTAGTAAAATGTGTGGTAAAGCTTCCAAGGGTTCTCATAAAATTCTTGAAAATGCGATGTTGTCCCACGATTACATGATTTTCAGGATTAAGCGAAAATTCTCTTCGTGTAATGAAAACAATATACAATAGTAGTTTGACAGCAAAACCACTGGGATTCAAAGAGTTCAAACAACTTCATTAGAAGCGTTGTCCGTTTCGTAAAAAAAAAAAAAAAGAAAATAGAGAGAAAGTGGGCGACGAATCTCTGTAAATTAATAAAATTCAAAACCGACGGCTGTCTGTAAGAGACTATGAAACGATGTCACGCGTGAATTTACCGAGTCCGTCGAAGGCGGACAAAAATAATTCATTTTGATTAATCCGAAGGTCTCCTGGATCAGAAGAAGAGACTCGCATATCCTCTCGGTGGATAGAACCATGTTCATTCCGGACGAAAGGTTCCAAACGATTGCCGGGGAGGCGGACACGTGGACGCTGCAGGTGAAATACGTCCAAGCGCGCGACGAAGGCGAGTACGAGTGCCAAATCTCGACCGACCCGAAGAAGAGTCACATCATCAAGCTCAACATCGTCGGTGAGCGTCGCGGCAGGCGATTACTCGTTAAGCCGATTGTTGGTCAAACGACCGGGCGACAATACCGAACGTCCGACGTGTTGCAGTGCCAAAGATCGAGATCTTGGGGGACCGTGACATGTACGTGAAGACCGGAAGTACAGTCGCGATACGGTGCGTAATAAAGCAGTCCCTCGAGGGCCCGTTCTACGTCTTCTGGTACCACGAGGGCGATCGCGTTCTAAATTATCAGCTGGGCAAGATTGACATTCAGACGAAGAGGATCGAGCAGGACACGGTGAGCAGCCTCGTGATTCACAACGCGAGACGGGAGGACTCGGGTAACTATACTTGCAGCCCGAGTAACTTGGATAGCGCGAGCGTGCAGCTGCATGTGCTGAACGGTGAGTGGAGCATTTTATCACTTGCGGGGGTGGGGGAAAGTTTGTAAAAATTAAAACGGGGAAACAGTGTCAAACTTTTCTCTTTCCCCCCCCGAATATAAACTTTCGTTACATGTGATTCACTGTTCGCGAGATGATACTTTTGTTTTTACGCGGACTTTTGCAAAGAGCACTTGTGATAAATAACACGAACGCGGGGCTTTTTGTCGCAGCGTATCCAATCTTGCTTATCGCTGGTTTATCAGATGTAAATATATCCGGTGATTTTCTAGGGGAACACCCCGCGGCGATACAGAGAGGCATCAGTTCAGCGCCGGGCGGCTGTCCTACCCTGTGGTGGCTGGCAGGAGTGGTAACATTGTACTCGAGTCACAGCAGCCGCCTGTTCGTCCTCGTTCTTTTGATCCTTATGGTTCTCTACTCGAAAAATCCATCTTACTTTGCGACGGAACGATAATCAGGCAAGACCGCAAGGATGGTATACGCGTATAATCGATTATCTCCTGCTACGAGACCCCGACTACCTCGAGAGAGAAGAGATCCTCGACGTTGCGGACCGATTTTCAGAGATCAAGGACAAAAAGGGCGAGGATGAGCGGATTAGGAAGATAAAGGGTAATACGATGGAGAAAGAGAAAGATCGGAGAAGAGAATAATGATCCCGGAGGTAGTATGTTTTTTCTCCGTACGCGTCAAGTAAGAGTTAGAGAGGTTCGTCTCGATTATCGAGACTGTGATCCGGCCGTTAGAAATTAGGAATTAGTTTATTATATGAATTCTTGTTAAATTGCTGCGGGAGTTATACGTGCTGGAGAAGCTACGAAATTTTTGACGTTATCGAAAATATAAATTAGGTCGAGCTTGAACAACGGGTAGTCCGTGAACGTCGTGAAAACTTTTAATTGAGAGTCCGGGACCGACAATTTCACTTATTAGGGCGAATTATCTAACAACAATCACTGGTTTATCAAAACCTTTATCTAATTGTAAGTAAAACAACGTGTTGCTCTTATAATTCTTGACAAATTATCGCGGCCGATATTTTCGAGCTTGCGTTACTTTTCTAAAGACGCGTTCTACGTTTGCGTTTTACACTTGTCGAAATGTTTCACGCACTTTCCGTCTGTTTAGCCCGACAAGGTGAAAAGTTACGAAATCTCATAAAGGAAGCGCCCGTAAAACGATCGCGAACGCGAGATTCTATCGCGAGGGCGTTGGGTGGTTTCGTAGCACCCGTTACAGAAACAAGAAAGCGATAACGTGACGAGAAATACAGGAAGAGGAGAAACGACGGTAAAAGAAAGAGAGAGAGAGAGAGAGAGGGGGGTGGGGGAGAAAGAGCAAGAGTCGAAAGAGAAACGTCGATGAGCGTCGACGTGGAAAAGCGTCACGAGACTGGGAAAAAGCAGAAAAAAACTTCGTCCGCGCCGCTCGAATAGAATTGAAACTTGTTCGATGAATTTTCGAGATGCGATGTAATTAATTATATTCGATAGCGACCGATTACAACAAAGCGTGTCTATACTTGACGTCTACCGCGTGATCTGGGATCGTCCTGAGACCGAGCGATCTCGGCCATCGTCACTTACAATTAGACGATATGCCGATACGCGCCAGAAGCAATTAGTATCTCTCTTTAGTTCGTCAGTCAGCGAGTCTACTCCAAGATCACTGTGAAAAAACAAGCTTGACTAAAGCCTGGTTTTTCCTTTCCTGGTCAATTGTTGACTAGAAGTGGTTAGTTGGTTCTCTATCTCTTCGTAGATAATCCTATGGAAAAAAGCTGGAAAGCCGACTAACCTCCGGTTAACAGTTACCCAGAAAATGAACACCCTGGGTCTAGAAGGGGAAAAGAAACGAGAGTCCAAGCGACCCTGTTGAGAAATAAAAATGTTACTGCTATTAATAGCATGGTGCGATGGTATTATTCGATCCGAGGAGGAAAAAATTCATATCAAGCGACGTTCTGCCCATATCAAACTCATAGTCACGATATTCTGATATTCCTAGCGGCAAGCCAAATTTGAAAGGAGTAAAATTTTTATTCGGGAAAGCTCATCGATCGCGCGAGCAAGATGGGACGGGATATCGCGATGGGAATTATCACTGCCTCTATAAATACTTGACCGCTTTGTCTAAGGCGACAGGTGTCTCGAGACGATCCGCGATAAAAATTTTGGTAATTAAAGCGCATTGAGTATACACACGTCGATCAAAATATATCATACGTCCGCGCATGCACAGGCTGAGACACTCACCGCGACGCGGGCCGTAAGGACCGACGCATCTTCCACTACCTCGTCCGCTCCTTTGCGCGTCGTCTCGCGATTTCGGAAATGCCGCGTTTTTTCACGGAAAATCGAAGACACTCATTAGGAAAGTACGTAGAGAAAAATTTCGACACTTTCGCTCGGGGGGGATTAAAAATACTGCCAATACGAAGCCACTTTGCGTTCCTTCCTTGAAAAATTTCTCGAAACGCGTGTTTCACAAACTATACATTTCTACCGGAGCGTTCATTCACGTTGGACGACGTTAAAGGAAAGGGGAGACATTTGTTTTGTATGAAATTTACACACGCACGTATTCGTAGTGCAAGACGCCAAATTTTACGCGCATTCGAAATTCCGTATTCGGAGCCTCACCTCCCATAGATTTCCTTTACTCGCGAACCGTCAAGCGTCTCGTCGTAAACAATATAGACAAGTACTTTCGACAGATACTTTTTGATAACGTTATATCTCCACGACGGTCTCGGCCCGCGGCGCGCCGCCTCTAAGCATGATCGGTTGTATAATTTAGCGGATGAACGTACGGCTTTCCGGCGGGCGCCCGCGCGCCCCCCGCGAATTTGCTTTCTTCTCGCAAATACTAGAGGGGAGGGGAGGGAATACTGTTTTTTATAATATTATATATATAAATATATATATAAATATATATATACAAACGAACAGAAATATATATATGTATATGTGTACGCGCGCAAATACGTTGCACATGGGTGTTGAATATTGAACAAGTTTCAGCTCGCACGAACGAGGGGCGCATATAAAGCGGCTAGAGCGTACGTTCTCGTAGAGAAAATTCTTGAGGAAATATCTTGGAGAGATACGAAGAGCAAGGCGGGGAAAGAAAGACAGAGACAGAGAGAGAGAGAGAGAGAGAGAGAAAGAGAAAGAAAGAAGAGAGGACAGAGAAATAGAGGAAAATAACACCATAGTACACGAGGACTGCGGCAGGAGACGAACGATTCGTTAGAATATCTACGATTCATGTGATTGTAAATAACGTAACATAGCGTATAAATAACGTAACGTTAATTAATGATATGCCGTACGTGTTACGCTAAAGAAACAAGAAAAAAAAATAAACTAAATAACGTTACTGTGTAATTTTTCGGGTCGTAAAAGCGCGCATTGGAAAAAAATGGGTCTGGCCGCCCGTGCTAACCGGCTCGGGAATCCATGCACGGTATACCGGGGATAGGCGCGAGAAGCGAGAGGAATCTCCCTCCGACGGGACAGAGAGACGCGGTCCGCGCACATACGTATACGATGTTCCCAGAAATCGAGATCGCCCGAACGAATTTCCGTTTCGACGAACATTTCCCGCGCGAGGGGGGTGGATACGCGATCGCCTCGCGGCGCCGTCGGGTCCAATCGGGGGAGAGACCGCCAACGTTCGGCCGTCGCATTTGGCCGCGCGCACCTCCGGACGCCGTCGGACGTGGGAGATCGGTGCGAAGACCACACGCGGAGGAGGAAGAGGAGGTGGAGGGACCGGAAGCGGAGGAACACGCCGGGTGCCGGCGCGCACGCTTTTCCATGGCGCGCCGGTGCGTCCGAGGGTCTTGGGGACGAAGCGGAGCGCGCGCACGTTTCCCCGTGACGAGCGCGCTCGTGGATAGCACGGGCCGGCCACACACGCGACTAGATGTAACACTAATTAACGCCTAGCAGTTAAGCGAACTAACAGATATAAATGCAAATATATCGTCGGATATAATAGCCAAGGCGGGGCGAATGCGCGAGCGGCTGTGTGCGTGCGTGCTGCGCGACCGCGCGAGTGCGAGCGGTACGGTTGGTGCTTTAAACCGTGTGAGCCTGTTTTGCGCGAGAGCGACGCGAAAGAGAGAAAATGCTAAGAACGGAAGGCGCGAGAGATTATGAGAAAGCGAGAGAAAATAATACACACACACACACGCGTACACACACACACACACGCGTACACACAGACGACACATACAACACGTACACACGCGTGTACCGAGAGAAGTTCGTTGGACTGACGTGTACTAAGGCGTTGGTCGAATGACGCATTTTAAGATATAAAAAAAAGGTCGATCGGGGACGTAGTTTATCTTCTTTATATCGTTTCCGCCGTTCCTTCTTCCCGCGCCTCGCGAGGCCGCTCCTGAGGCGACGACGAGAAGGACCGAGGGCAGTCCTGAGAGGCCGCGAGAGTGAAACTTCGCCCGCCCTCTTAGCCCTCTTCTTCGACGCAGGCCTCCCCCTCGCGGGGTGGAAGGAGGAACGCCGCGCTCGTCCCCGTCGCCCTTTTGCCTCACCGCGAGAAAGGGGGGAAGTAATTTAAAGGGAAGATATAGCAGGAAAGAGAGAGAGAGAGACGGCGAGATGAAGAACCCAGTCGAGAAACGTCGTCGTCTTACGAATCTAATTCTAACGTCGTAGAGAACAGCATTGAAATTTTTGTACCAAAATCTATCTCGTAGCCCTTAAGTGTCGCCGTACACTTGCTTTTCCGTTTCCGTTCGACGTTGCCGACCGCGCGCTTACCCTCCTCATTCGCGGTAATTTTTTTCCCCCTTTCCTCCCTTCCGTCGAGACGCGTCGCGGGGGAACGGAGCGAGTGAGACTTGCCGAAAATACCCTCCCGCAAGTTTCTCGCGCGATCGCCGCATTAGAATCTCCCCCGGGGGGGCGCGATCGTACGCGCCTCTCCCCGCGTTCGAACGAGCGCCCGACGCCCTCGCGTGCCACCGCCTCGCGTTTCGCGGGGCAAGTGGAGCGTGAGAACGATACGATTGCTTAATCGCGCGCTCCGGGAGAGCCTCGATAAACCTCCCCCGTTAATTGTAATAAGCGATCGACCAGATCCGCGGCTCGGCCGAACGCGAGAACGCGCGCCCGATTCCCGGGAACCGCGTTAACGAGTCCCCGAGAGGGTGAACCACTTTGTTTCGAGAGTGATGCTTGTGACCGTCCTGACAGTACGTCGATGTGCTCTTACGCGATAGATAACTGCACAAGTTAGGTGTTCTTCCCGAGATAGTAGGCTATATGTGAGCGATACGGCGACGACACCGCCGTCGTCGTCGGAGAGATGAAAGACGAGTAAGACGCGGTGACCCAGAAATAGATCTCTACCGAGAGAGCCGCGGGGATTCCAATTCCGACGTGATCTATCCGCGTTGCCGCGCCGTCGAACGGTCTCGAAAAATTCTTTGTGAAGACGGGAGAACATCCCGGAAATCGATTACGCAGCTTCGCGAAAGAAGGACGGACGGAGGATTGGGAACAGATCACCGGCGAAAGAATTTCGAGGCGAGCGGCGAGCGAAGTGTTATCGAGAAACTTTTTAGACGAGAAGCTAGACGTCGGTAGAGACTGCGAAGACTGTACGTGTCCCCCCCGCGCGCGCGGGGGACTGGTACACGACTGTTGCGATTTTAACCCTCCACCGCTTTCGTCCCTCCGCGAAGACAGACCTTGCCGTTCGCCGAGCGTGTAACGAATTTCGAGGATACGCGTCCAAGTATTAGAGTCCCTCTGATCAGATTCCGGCCAGCGGACGGCCAGCTTTCGATCGGCCCTTCTATTCTGGCAGCTCCCGAAAGGGAGAGAGCGATAGAGAAAGAGATAGAAAGAGCGAAAGTGCCTCCTTCTCTCTCGCAGAATTTCGCCAGTACTGATCTGCTCTTGGCCAGACCCCGATTAACGGGGACTCCACCGGCGACGAGATCGCGGCGCTCCGCGGAAAAGCAAAACGCGTGATTCGCTCGTCTCGTTCACGCGGGTGTATTCATTTCTTTTCCCCGGCGGTGGAGGGTTAAAAGGGAGAGCCCATTTGTCGTCGATCGACGCCCTCGGGACGGGCGGGTACCTCGTTAACCACGCGGATCACCGATGACATTCGCGAGAGACGCCGGCGTGCAATCACGCGATTGCCGCACGCGAGCATCGAAGCTCCCGAACGTACGACTCGAGAGATAGAGAGAGAAAGAGAGAGAGAGAGGCTCGACGTTAATTATCGCGAATTACATTATCGAGTAACGGATGATTACGTTCGCTCCCTCGGCGGTGCGCGGCCACCGCGGGTTGATTATTTATTACCGCGTTGCGTCGCGGCGAACGCGCGTGCGATCGACATCGTAAATCAGGAGCTTCGACGAGTCCATTGGCGAGCGAGCGAGCTCGACAACGTCCTATTAATGTTGAAAGCGAGAATCCTACGTTACGGGCGTTTCGTTGACGGCACGCGACAGATCACACTATAGTAAGGGATCTAATTAATCACTTAACGCAACACGTCTGCCGATTCGAACGTTCGACGAAGGTGATTTACGGCCGCCCGCGCCGCAAAGGGTGGACCGCGGGAGATGCCCGGGGGTAGGTGCGAGGGGAGGGAAGGAGGGCGAAATTTGTCGAGCGCGCGGATAGGCGGACGATCGATTAAAAAAAAAAAATGTAAGCGTAAGTTAAAAGAGAAAATAAACAGCAAGACACTCTGGAGATATTCCTCGACGCGAGCCTCGTCTCGTGGATTCGCGTCTGTACACCTTGGGTACGCTTTAACGAGATGAAAACAGACTCTAACGAATCTACGAGATGATGCCGAGGAAAGCGAGAAGGATGTTAGAGCGAATGGGAGGACAAGCGGAGCGAAAGTTTAAAATGTGCGTGGGGAAATGCGTGAGCGAGTGAGCGAGAGCGTGTGTGAGAGCGAGCGAGAGAGAAAGAAAGAGAGAGGGAGCGAAAGCGAGATAATAAATCAATGTTAAACCCATCATTACCGGACTCGCATTTTCGGGAGACAAATCTTCGTTGACCGCCGTTTCTACGCATAAGTTTAGTCTCGTTTTTCGAAAGCTGGACGAGGCGCGACACGCCCTTTCGGCGCCCGATCGCGGCTGCACGATACTAATTACTTAGCTCACGGACGAACGTGGAGAGGAACTTTTATTCGTCACTCGCGTCGAGCACGGGCTCGATCCTTCACCGGCGGCGGGACAGACGCGATCGACGTCGAACGGAGGCCCACCTCCCCCCCGTCCACGTCTCGGGAGTCCTTACATACAAGTTTCAGCGTTTCCGTTTTTAACCTATTGTGGCGAGAAACGGGACGAAGAGCAGTCCCGTTCTATGTGTGTAAGAACCATAAAAGCTTAATAAAAGGAAAAAAAAACATTATACTATGAACTTACGGAATACCTAATAAAAGTAAGCCAAACCGTTAACAGGGCGTCTTTTATTTCTCTCGTGCTCCTCCGTGCATAATCGCATTAGATGCTTCGTGTATCGTTGCATCATATATTAAAATAATCTGCCGTACATATACATGTTTATCTCCTTTCACGCAACTTGTACATTTATCATTGTATCAAACACACGTACATATCATGGATGACATCATTATATATTAATATATTTGGTACACTTCATTATGAAATAAGCTCTTTATCGTGAAAGAATGGGATCTTATTTTTAAAAAAGAAATATAGAACGAGTCTCGCGTAGAATAAATTGCGGTTACAAATTTAGAAAAAAAAAACTAAATCAAATGCTTCAAATGAAGCCATTGCGTGTCTTTGGTCGGGGAAATTACAAAAGAGCTTTGTTTCTCACTTAACTTTTTTCACGGCCTCAGGACTCGTGTCGTGATTATATTTTGCGACAATTCTCTGGAATAAGAGGAGGTAGATCACGCTGACGAGTCTCGTCAGTCCCATCAGCGGCACTTGCGCGAACACGCCGGACAACTTGACCGGCGACATTCCCGCGCACAACGTCGTCAGTATGAAGCCTTCCAGACCAACGGTAGAGAAGAACTCTCTCGCCTGAAGCCGATGTTATCATTTAACAAAGGTGGATAAAGGGAAAGAAATTTAAATTCATTAATTTTCGCGCACTAACCAGCGCGTCCTCGAAGGCCTTCTCAGCAACGACCTCGGGCTGGACCAACTTGGCCACTTGCGATATGGCTTTCGTTTCCGGCGGCTTGGACAGCTCTTCCACGGCGTAACCAGGTGTGTCCGTATCCGGCGGTAAGCACAGAGTGACAGAGACGCCGTGTGGCCGCAGCTCCATCGCCAAGCTCTCCGCCAAGCCACGCAGCGCGAATTTTGTGCTGCTATAAGCGGTGTATCCAAAGATACCTGCAAAGCATATTCTCTTTTTATACAAAGGCCATAATTGGTATGTGTCGATGGTACAAATAGTTTATTACGCAAATACCTAGGAGACCAGCTTGAGACGACATAAGTACGATCGCTCCTTCCTTGGAAGCTTTCATTCTTGACACCACCGCCTTGGTGCAATAATACGTGCCTAGAAAATTTGTGCGCAACATTTGATCGAGATTCTCTTCGGTGGTGTCTTCTATCTTGCCAGCGATTGCGAGGCCAGCGCAATTCACGAGCATGTAAACTGGTCCCATAACGTTCTCCAGATCGGCCAGCGCTCTTTCAACAGCTTTATAATTCGTCCCAATATTTAAAGACAGACACTCCACCCTTTGTGTATCCTTGTTCTCGCATGCTTCCACTATTTCACGTTTGGCTTTCTCCAGATTCTCCAAATTCCGCGCGATTATCGTGACATGCGCTCCCTTCTTAGCGGCGAGAATCGCCATGCATTTCCCAATGCCGCTGGAGCCGCCGGTCACCTACAAAACAACATTTCACACTTCTGTTACACGCTAAGAAAGATATAATATTATGTATTCGGCGAGTTAAGATATAAAATATTTTAATATATTCAATTCGCTCTTAGAACATAGTCTTGCACTCTATATAATTATATAAGGTATCTGGTAACTATCGGATCATTTTCGTGAGCAGGTAGAGCGACTTAAGCTGATGAGTAAAAGAAGTCCTGTACCGTGTGGCGATCGTGACAGTAAACAATGAATTATTAATTATCAGAGATCTGTCGAGCAGCGATTGGTCGAGCGCTTACAGTGTTGTTGCTACGCGCGAGGCACCGAGAGGAGCGATGTGAAAATAACGACAACACCTGGGGTGTGTTCCAATTTCCTCTCGGTACTACTGACAGTACTCTCCAACAGTCTCGAGCATTCAAGATTCAAGAAAATCACCAATCGCAGTCGATTGTTCTCACATTTGATTGTGATAGGTCTCTTTCTTAAATCTTACGTCTACGACTAAGATTGTATTATTGGTAAGTAAATTGTAAAACAGTCTTAAGCGGATCGTTCTGTGCCATCAGCCTTACTCGACACCCTGTACTCGTAACAACGAATTTATTCGAACTCGGGCGACACTCACGACAACGTGCTTGTTCCTGATGTTTTTGATTTTCTTCATCCCGAAGAAATGTTCGCACGTCACAACCAAGGCGCAGATAACGAAAATCACCGCCGTCAGAGCAACCGCTGCAATACCGTACGTGTCCAACATAGCCATGTCACGCTTACCGGTGTTAACTACGATAAAATTCGCACAAGAAATCTACCTCGTACGACACGTGAGCGCGCTATAAAACTTTTTGTTTTTCCCTCCACGGGGACGCAGTCAACCGTTAGGTTAGGTTATTTGGCGTGCCTTCTCGTTCTTATGTCTTTGTCTCTACTATTTTTCCCGTTCTCCTGACGAATTGGTACACAAGTTGTAATTTATTCCAGTCTTCTCTCTTCAAGATATCCTCCATCGACCACGCTGCAAAACTTCCGAACGATGGAGAGGAGATGCCTCCGCCGGCTCTGCCTCAGAGAGAAGCCCGCCCTCCTTGAACGCGACACGCCATCTGCGGACATTGAAAACGTGGACATGAACTACGTAGCCAATGTCCACGTTTGGGCTAAGCGGATAACGCAAATCTGCACGTTATTAGCTGCGTTCGGCATTGCAAATTCGAGGCATCGGAGTGCTCTTTTGCATTCGAGTGAGCGAGGGAGAAGAACGAGATAGAAAGGGAGGAAGAGCACTCCGACGCCTCGGATTTGCAATGCCGAACGCAGCTATTGGCAGAGAGAAACCTGAGAGCGCGGCCACGCCGGGCGTTTTGCTCGATACCGTTTTCGCTCGGCTGCATTCCAGGCGCCTTAATACGCCCATTTTCATTTTTGGAACTATTCCGCTACACCCATTTTCAAGCACATACCGCTAAAGTCTCCACTTGGTGCGTCGTTCTCCGCTACATTTTTCAAGCGGGTAATGCAGTGCCCAATTTTGGTTGTGTTCCGTGCCGCATGCACGAAATGTCGGTAACACAAGGGTGTTATTGATGTTTCGTAACTAGAGTAAAGTGGATGTCAAAACAAAAGTGAGTGTCAAACCATATCGTTAATTTCTACGGTGATTTGTCGCGACGAATATCGCATAATTTGAAGTAGAAGTCGCATTTTAAACGAAAATCGCAGCCGCACGCGGCGGTTTGTCGTGTCGCGTCGTCGTCGCGACAAATCACCGTGGAAATTAACGATATGATTACGGATCGCGACAATTACTTAAACGCGATTGATAAATGTTAATAACTTTCGAACGAGACGATCGCGCGCGTAGGAGATGATCGAGATTCTCGTAGGAAATAATCGCGTTACGAGGAGCGACGCGAAGACACGCGGTATAATGTATGTATACATCCGCCGCGCCGAATAATTCGACATAATAGATTGTTTACGTCCGAGGTTTTTACGGCGCTACGTTTCATTTCTTGGAATCCGCGCTCGGTTTTCGGCAGAGGTGTTTACGGCGCGGTACGCAGGATCAGTCATGCGGCGACAATCGAGTTGATCGGTTGTGCCCGCGCCGCTTCGCATATCGTATTGTTCTTTCTTGATACGCGTTCGCGACAAGTGCGGGAAGAAACTGCGATCGCTCTCTGTGAGCAATCAATGATCGATATCATCGTGCGATCGTTGAATTCCCGCGATTTGTGCGAGTGATTTGTGCGGACATCAGTGCGACGATATAATCGAAGAGTTCGTAGTGGCAACCGGACTCGGTGACAATCGGACATAGTGAAAATCGAAGACAGTGATATTCGGATACAGCTGTGACCCATCGGCTTTATAAACGGAAGCGTAAATTCGCGAGTGAAGTGGCATTTGGATACAGTGACAGTGAAAAGTGACTTTACAAACGAAAGTGTAAATTCGCGAGTGTGTCGGAGAACAGCTGTGACAACGACACCTGAGAGGCGGACACCTGAGTGGAGGAGGAGGCATCGAGCGCCATTGCAGAATCAGCGTAGATACATCTCCGCCGCTGCGCATCGTGTCGGTGAGTGAAAAGTTTTTTTTATTAAAGTAACAGAATCTACATTTTTAGATCGTAGATTGATACATTTCGTAGATCCGTTACGTTAAAATGGATAGGCTACAATTAATAATCTCACGTTTTAGGTAATATATTTAATTTATCGAAGAGAAGTGATTTTATAGAGCTCTACAAATCAGAGTGTGTTGAGCTCATTTCTCTCACGTTAAAAATCGTTAAACTATATAATAGAAATTACGCGAAATATGACGAATATTATTGATGCACTCGACCAACTAATTTCTCGTAGCCTATCCATTTTTATCAACTTAACACGATGTAATGTAACATGATGTAACATGATGTAAGCTAAAATCGAAGTGGTCGCTTCTCGGCTCTCTGAGCTAAGATCGAAGTAATCGCTTCTCGGCTCTCTG